AGATTGTGCAAAATGATGTAACTTTGTTAGGACACTTAAGAATATACTCAGGATTTTCTGTAGCTGATACACTCCAGATACATATAACATATTGGTAAAACGAATCCATCACCTAAAAAGAAAAAAAAAACATTATACAAGTATCAAATTATTGTATTTTTATACAAATAAAATTACTAAAACTTGAAATAATTTTTTTTAAGGAAATTATTACCAGATTAAACAAACTAAAATGTAATATAAATTATAATATATATTGTAAGTACTTCGTGCATTGTAACGAGTGACTCGATATAGGATGTGACTCTCAAAAATTCTATGGATTTGACTGGACATTTTGCAAGAAACTTTAAGGAGGAGACTGCCGGGCTGAGGTATCCATTGCTGAAGTCTAAGTTAAAGTCATTAGCCACTAGCCTATGTTCAACTCGATCCATCGACTGCTGTTCCAACATCGAAATCATCATCCGGGCGACCTCGATCACTCTGTCAGGATCTACCATAGTGATGTGTGTTTGACGATGATTATCTGGTAGTTCAGTACCACCAACACCCTGTTTAGCCTGTTACATAATATATAATAGAGTTTAAAAGCGTCTAACTATTATGAACAAACAATGCGTTATGAAACAAAATAAAAATAAAATAAGATAGAATCTACAAAATATCCATTGTTAAGTTTGAATTCCACTTCTTAGTCCATATTTGTTGTAGCATTATAGAAATCAACCAAGTATCGATGAAATCAGAAATTAAAATTGCCCTATTAGAGGGGGAAATTAAACATGATAGAAAACCAGTAAATAGATATCTATACAGATATCAAAAAAAACAAGAACACAATATTGTACCAGTGAAATTTGATTTAAAAAAAAAAAACAGTTACAACAATGTTATTTAAATTATTTTCATTAAATTACATTTATAATATATTATAGAACTTTTTGATATTAATAAATGTGGTTTTGTTTCAACTTYGTAATCAGCTATTCAATCAAATTCTAATAATATACAATAATTTATAAAAGATGCACCAAGTTATTCATAGTAATATAAAACTTAGTATTATAATCCATAACAAAATATTTTTGATGAATATACCGTAGTCACGAAACTACAATTTGTCGTGAAAGTCTTCCCACGAAAATAAAACATATAACCGCAATATTGATACAAAAACCCATAAAATGATACATATTTTATATATATATATATATATATTCCTATTGTATAATCATTGAGAACTTACATTTACATTTCATTAATTGTAATATAAAAGTATATTGGTACGTAATAATATATAAGTAAAAGTAATATGATTGTCCTGTGTTAAGAAATCCTATAAGCTATACACAATAGACGATATTGATCAATGATCAGATGTAAATAATATATGAAATAATCTGTACACATGTTGAATATTTTTTGTCACGGGAATTGGTTTTGTAACCTTATATCCAATTATCAAACGGGTTTACTTAATTTATAAAATACATAACAGAGCAAGGATTTATGCACGGTTTCAATAATTTGATTAGAAAAATATACACCAGTGGTACCATTCGTCCAATTTTTAAAGGTACCATGTTTTTTTATATTATTATAATTATCTATGTGTCCGTTAGTAATTGCGCATCTTTTAAGAACAACGATGCGGCTTATTTTTTTATCTTTTAATGGCCAWGATATTCTTATGAGATTTTTCCGAAAAGAACAATTCGAAAAATTGGAAAAAAAACTGAAAWGSMTTWTTTTAAATGGATTTTTTTTTACATACGTGGTTGCCATTAGTTACAAATTAATAATTATATTATAGAAAATCATTGTGTACCGAATATTAACAACATGAAATACTTATGAGATAGGTACCTTTTATTACATGTTCAAACGTTCTCCCTCAGTGAAAATATTATATCGATACACATGATCTATGAATGGCCGTTTAAACATTTTTGTTGAAATTGTGTAGTAACTAAAATTGTTCGTTTTCCATTTCAACACTGAAAATATTATCGATTTTTCCAAACCCTAGTTTTCTGTAAACTTTCCCATTTTTTCTTATATTCAATTTCCTAACAGAAAAGATTCTAAAGTAGAAAATCGTGGCATTTTTAGTTATTGATAATTTACTATAAATTTAGTAAACTATAAACAGATTTWTTTTTGTAATAATTTATTTATTTAAAAGTGACGAGTGACGACTATTATCAATTTTTTTTTATTTACTCTCAAATATTCAATCGATGAACAGTGCATATCATTTGTCAATACTATGGGGTGTTGAGTCCATTTTTCGACCAAATCACTTTCATTAGTCTGTACTTCTTTTTCCGCGTTTTCATCGTGAGTTTGTGTTTGAACCTGGAAAAATTAAACTATTTTAACTATAAACTTTTAAACACGTCCATTAAAATATATCTTATTACTGTGTTTATCTATTTTTGAAGATTAATAAAAAAAATGAACTGTACCAATGTACAGATTTACAGTAAAACTATATTATGTTTAGTGTTTAAAATTATAAATTTACCTGCGTCATGTTTGAACGTCCGTACATTTGTATATATTGTTCATAAGGTATTGCTGGCAAATCTAACAGGGAAAAGCTAACAGTGTCTAGCTTAATCATCTCCATTAAAACGTTTCCCCTAGTTTTTATTTTGTCCTTTACCTATATTTAAATTTAACTTTAAAGTATTTTCTACCATAATGTATAAATAAATCATACTTCTTGTTCTCGCTTCCTCTTTCCGGCAGTTTTAAAATTTTTTAAGCCCATTTCAATAGTCCGTTCTAACGAGTTTATTTCAAACTTTTCATCCAAGAATGGTTCCAATTTTTCTTCTACACAAACGGGAAGCGCAAACTTAAAACTTACAGTGTCATTTGAAATTGTTTGGCTCACCAAAGTTGGTTTTAATTGCGATTCAACTACTAATGAATCGACCGAAGTATCAGATTCAAAGTCAGATTCATAATCCTTAAAATATGATTGTCAAAAATAAAAATATATATATAAATTGTATTTTGTATTATTTTACTTCAAAGTCATCTTCATATTCTTGGTTATCTGATACGTCTGATGAATTGCTAAGAGCAGTAGTACTATTGTCAACTTTATCAATTGGATTTTCTTTGTTTTCCTTGTGTAAGACTTTATTTTCATTTTGTTTCATACTAACACTTACGTGTTTATTTTTAACACCAACCGGGTGTTTTTTCGTAATAATATTTTGTTTCGGTTTTCCCATTTTCGCAAATGGGTGGGTATTATGTTGATCTTCTAAATGTTTTAAATAAAATTTACGTTATAGTAATATATTCTTCTTCTGATATTTTTGAATATTTTAAACATTATAGTATAAGCCTAGAATTTTCTACCATAATAATAATAATAATAATAAATGATAATAAGTATATATATACATATATATATATTATTATGATTCATATACATTTTTATTTTGAATGCCATCATTTACGTCGAATTAGTATTTTAAGCTCTTTGAAAATGATGTAAACTATAAAATTTACCATGTACTTTTTATAATTTTCGTTTGAAATTATATTGGCCATATAATTTCAAACCAATATTAGAATGATATTAAATAAATATATATCATTCAAAATACAAATATAAAATAAAAATATAATAGTTCAAATAATATTAAAATAAATAAAAAATGTTTTGCATTGCATGATAATAAATGTAAATTAAATTTCCTTAAAACAACTTTTATCCTAGTGAATACTTTACCGTTTGCCATCTTAGGTAGGTAGGCATGTAGAATAATAATAAAATATGAAAACTAAATTGTTCCAGTTAAATATGTTTAGTCATTCAACAATAGCAAAAATTATTATTAAGCAGCTATAAAAACCAATATAAAGTGGTTTCTTGTGTTTGTTCAGAAAATCCGCAACAAGAATTATGGTTCTATTTACAATTATTAAGAAGAAAAAAACAACTGCGATGCGGTCTAATAAAAACTTTAGCTAATAGCCAAGTAAGCTATATTAAATTGTTTTTATAAATATAAACAGTTGAGATTAATCKTAGTTAAAGGAAGAAAGAGTAGTTACTACATTCAAGAAGTAATCTTAATTCAGAAAACAACCATGTTGTACAGATCAAAAAGCTATTGCACAATATCTAGTTCAGATCATTCGTACTGGTTACAACGTTTTACCTCCGACCAACAGTTATTATTTGTATCCATATAATGATGTGACTATCTACGTATTTGAAATATTAATTTACTATTAATTATGCACAACTAATATATCCATAAATTTATTCGTAGAACATAATACGCATATAATAATCTAATAACGTGTATTATTGTTTGAACGTTCAGCTTCCAGTTCAGTCTTTCACGATTAGTTTTGTGAATTACTGGGGTAGAGTTTTTATTATTATTATAGCACCTATGCTATACTACAATCATATAGTAAATAATTTACTGTAAATGAGATACTTTTTATTATTTTTTTAAATAAATTAAATTAAATGATGAATACGATTACAATATTATTACACTTATTTCACAACCGTGAATGTYTATAGGTAGGTAAGGTGCCTATTCAATAGTTAACTATTCCTCCATTAAAGTTTACGAAAGTTAATTTTCACTGTTACACGTGACAAAATCAATGTTGTTAAGCTATAACAGAACATAAGTATAAATAGAAAAAAAAATACTTTACATTCGTACTTCTCAACAAATAAAAATGCGTTTGAAAATATTTAGGAAATCATTATTCAAATTTACCTACATCTTTCAATATAATATAAAAAAATTACCTTTCATTACCTATATGTACCTAGTAATTTTTACGCTAGTTAAATAATATTGTATCCTTTACTAGAACTTATATGATTTTATTATTAAAATATATTATATTTTTTTTTCGAGGAAAAAAATTAAAATGTTTAAATGCTACATGTATTTGAATTTTGTTTTAACAAAATATTAATTTCAAATTGGTAACAAAATATTATGAATGTTTTATACATTAATAGAATTTTGGTAATCTATATTGCCAAGAGTATACCTATATACAATAATTAAAATAATATTTTTTTGGTTACATGTTATTTTGTATTGAAAATATTGAAAAATTATTATAATTAAAGGCAACATGTGGAGTGGGTGGCTTTGCTCTCTCGAATCAGTGACCAATAGATAAATTCGTATTCTTCTACTCAAGAGTTCCTACATACGCCTATGTAAATATATGAGGCAAAATTATACATAAATTTAGGCGTTTATATCCTTGACTTAACAAATTATAACCTAAAACAAATATAAGAATATATTTATAAAATCATTRTTTTATATTATATGTCTTGCCAATAAAAACACCATTTGATCTATTTTTACGAAATTTCAAAAGGTTTTTTTTAAAGTTTTAGAGAGTAGTTTAAACCTTGTTAAAAAATATATCGAAAACAATGGTATATGGACTGAGGTATACTAAAACCGATATCCCCCTATTTATGTCATATTGTAAAGTAATTATAATTTTTTTCAAAGTGAAGTCCGGTTATACTAGGTACTAGTSTATTATATTTTATTAGTATCTAACTTATACAACTAAACCATTTTACTATTGAATACTATTATATTTACGTATTTTAAGTGTGAAAGTACCTAAATGATTGTCTTATTTTTAATTCGAACTTAATTTTAAGAGTATAAAAAATTATATTTAGTTATACTAAAATTCATATAGTATTACTTGGTTTAAATATTTATATAATTTTAAAAACATGATTATAATTAAATAATAAAACAAAACATGGCGTAGGTGTGGTAAATAGTTGGTTTTTTTATYTAAAAATTAATTATAATCAAATGAATTGGTAGCCTGAATTAAACCGACAAGTTGTTTGAATGTATTCATTGTCCAAAGCTTAAAAGTATTTTGTTTGCAAACGGTTTTTTTTTTTTTACATTACTGTAATTTTTCTTTATTTTTCTTTTCAATCCTTTATTTACCAACCTTTCTTTATTTATTTAAATTTTCATTTATACTTACTTTCTAAAAAGCCGTAATTTTATATCACGTGTATTATTAACAAAGAGAGCATAAATACTGGAATTATTAAATATAATTTGATGCTAAAACAATTTATTTTTACTTTATATGATTCATTAACGGTACAATTGTTGGTGCAATATTAATTATAAAACTCTTAAAAAATATTTCGGATTTGAATATAATTTTTTTTCAAGTGTTTTTTCTCTTTTCCACTTATAAATGTATTATATAATATGATGTAATAAAAACCAAAGAATCATCAATTGAATAACGTATATTAGTATATGGGAAAATACACTTAAGTGCAAATATTTTATTTTAAATCTACGGGAAAAGAACGGAATATTTTTTTGTCAGGCGTAGATAATATAAATATTGTGACCTCCAACGAATAATTCAAATTACCAATATATTATGTACACATAWAGTTTGTACTTTGTATCGATCGAATTCTCGGGAAAATTATTTCAGTAATGAGGAAGTATTACCCTATGGTATCTAACCACCCCTGTCCGTCCACCAATAATACCTTAACGTAAATAAAAATACTGATATCGACGACGGGCGTATGATTATCATATTTTAATATACTAATAATATTATATTGTATGACATTATCGGGTTTGAACTGAAAGATGGTATCAACCGTCTCCTTGGTAATACTGACTGTTTCTGATCGGTAACGCAATCGACGCCGCGCTGGTAGTCTTTACCGCCGACGCTGGTACGTTCTTTTTGCCTGTCACCGTTACCACAGGTCTGGCACGGCTTGACGCTACTGGTTGAGCAGTCGATTTTTTCGCCGGAGTACAACCCTGAAAACAGAATTGCGTTTGTAATTATTAGTTTTATGAAAACCATGAAAACAGCAGTCGCATATCTCTGGATCTCACCGTCGTCGCGACGAAGCCGTTGAAATTTTCGACGGTTCTCCGGGCCATTTTGGACAAAATTTACCAGTACCGTAGAATATAATAATTTTAAAACAATATTATGACATAGTGGAAAAAAAATACGTTGTGTTTAACCTAAACCAGCTGTGCTAGGATGCTTGCTATCACACTAATATWATATTATACCACGGTATGTGTACATGGCAACGGTTTGTTGTGCGTCCGATGACCGTGGCGATGGCGATACCTAGTAGCAGTAGCGTTTTAAAAGGTTATAATAATAATAATATGCTTTATTGGTAGGTAGGTGTAAGCAGACAGTGGGTATGATATGCCACACACTCGTCAATATCCATAATTTTTTATGCAAAGTACAATGATCACTTAACTCAAAAATTGAATAATATTAGAAATTAGATTCCATAATAACTAAAGGAAACCTAGTMAAATAAATAAAGTGAAAGAACGTTGCACACACAAGAATATAAACATGATAAAAGCTCTTGTACTAAGCAACCTTTTGCAAATAAGAGATCAGACATTTTTTTACTCTAGAAAATTTAAAAAAAAAACACTGTATTCATATTTCTTATTCTTTGATAATTACAAAATATTAAAATACATTCTGTTATGTTAAGAGTAGATACCTATAAGAAAATAAGATTATGTTAGTGAATAAAATTATATTTAATTATTGATTTATTATTTAATAAATTGATCAGTAATATTTTAATTTACACCAAGTTTTAATAACTGACATATTTTATGTAAAACATTGTGATGGTTAATTTTTAACAATATATATCACTTAAATGTATTTTTTCTTATTTGAWATTTTTTCCAGTAGAATGATTGCTGTRAAAGTTTTAACTTTTAAGTATAATATGTGTTAGTATACAAATATATTATAGTATTATATCAATCAAAGTATTAAATAATTTTTTTTCTAGTTTGTACTTATATTTTTTGATGAGTTTATTTCATAAATGTTAAAATAACAACTGAGAAATTATCAAAAAAATCATGGCATTTACAAYACTATAGTTTGGTTGTTTTTTCATAATTCAATTAATTAACTAGCATTTACCATCAATTATTTATTTTAGTATAAAGTATAATACAGAAAAAAAA